AGAAGGGCAGGAAGGAGAAGAAGGGCCGCGGGGCGGAGAAGACGGCGGCCAAGATGGAGAAGAAAGTGTCCAAGCGCTCGCGGAAGGAGGAGGTGGGCGGGGCCTTCCCCGTCCCTGACCCCTGATCCTGACCGGGCCCCGGGGGAACACCTGTGGCCGCTGCTGGGCGGGGGAAGCCGGTGGACATCCCGGTCCGCCGGGGCTGGGGTCAGCTTTCCCGGGTCTCCGGGTCCCTCGGCCCTCCCAGCCCCACCCGCCACGCGGCCCCGAAAGGCCGCCCCTCAGCCCACAGCGCACAGCCCGTGCCCACCCCGTCCCTGACCAGGCCGCCCACAGCCTGTGCCCACCCCGTCCCTGACCAGGCCGCCCCACAGCCCGTGCCCACCCCGTCCCTGACCAGGCCGCCCACAGCCCGTGCCCACCCCGTCCCTGACCAGGCCGCCCACAGCCCGTGCCCACCGGGTCCCTGACCAGGCCGCCCACAGCCTGTGCCCACCCCGTCCCTGACCAGGCCGCCCACAGCCCGTGCCCACCGCGTCCCTGACCAGGCCGCCCACAGCCCACAACCCGTGCCCACCCCGTCCCTGACCAGGCCGCCCCACAGCCCGTGCCCACCCCGTCCCTGACCAGGCCGCCCACAGCCCGTGCCCACCCCGTCCCTGACCAGGCCGCCCACAGCCCGTGCCCACCCCGTCCCTGACCATGCCGCCCACAGCCCACAACCCGTGCCCACCCCGTCCCTGACCAGGCCGCCCACAGCCCACAGCCCGTGCCCACCCCGTCCCTGACCAGGCCGCCCACAGCCCGTGCCCACCCCGTCCCTGACCAGGCCGCCCACAGCCCACATGCAGTCAGATCTCTAGCAGGACGGGTGAGGGTTCCAGCGCCAGCTCAGGGAGGCCGAGCAGGAAGCTGCCTGACCCCGGGCCGGTGCTCACGGCGCGCGGACCGCTGCTGTGTTGCAGGAGGACCTGGAGGCCCTCATCGCCCACTTCCAGACCCTCGATGCCAGGAAGACCCAGGTGGTGGAGACGCCGTGCCCGCCGCCCTCGCCCCGGTAAGCACTGGGAGCCACCGGGGCTGCCGGCGCCAGTCTCCCGGTGACCCTGCCGGGTGCTGTCTGTGCGGTGGCCGGGGCCCCAGCCTGCAGAGGCCTGCGTCCCAGGTGCTGTGGGTGACGTGGGTGTGCGTGTCTGATTGGGAGCTGAGCCTCTGCATTCTGTGGCAGCACGCTGGGCTTGGGGCCTGTGGTTCCCATGCCTGGGCCGCAACGGGGGCACACTTCAGGTGCCTCGGTCCTGCACGGCTGAGTGGAAGCGTTTTGCTTCGTTGAACTGGAGTGCAGGCTTGGTCTCAGTGCTGTCTGAGCCTGGGGGAGTCCAGGACCTGGTGGGAGACATTGGGGTGCACATCCCCTTCAGCCCAGGTAATGGGATCGTATGCTCAGGCTTTGAACTTGGGGCCCACCTTGCCCGGGGAGCCTCCCCCTCAGTCCTCCGTCCCCGCCCTTCCCTCTCCACTTGCCCCCTGCTCTGCCAGCAGGCAGAGGTGATGCTGGGCGACAGCTTCCTCAGGGTCTGACGGGGGGGGAGGGGAGGTCCCCCCATTGTGCAGGTTCGGGGCTTTAGGAGGAGTGGCGTTGCAAGGGTGAGGGCTCGTGGCTTGGTTCGTTCCCAGGCTGAGCAGGCAGCAGGCCTGTGCACTGAGGCTTGGCTGCTGCTGGCCCACAGCCGTCCTGTTGGCCTTGGTGTCTGTCGGCCCGTCCTTGACTGAAGTCTAGTGGTGCCGGTCATTTCTTTCCTATTTTTTTTGAAGATTTATTTATTTTTATTGGAAAAGCAGATATATGGAGAGAAAGGAGATACAGAGAGGAAGATCTTCCATCTGCTGGTTCACTCCGCAAGTGGCTGCAACAGCTGGAGCTGAGCCAATCCAAAGCCAGGAGCCCGTAGCTTCTTCTGGGTCTCCCTCACGGGTGCAGGGACCCAAGGCTTTGGACCATCCGCCACTGCTTTCCCAGGCCACAAGCAGGGAGCTGGATGGGAAGTGGAGCTACTGGGATTAGAACCAGTGCCCATGGAATATCCCAGTGCATCTAAGGCGAGGACATTAGTCACTAGGCTACCATGCTGGGTAGGGGTGCTGGCCCCCATCCTGTGTCCCTGGGGTGGCTGTCCGAGCAGGTAGGGGTGCTGCCTCCTCCCGGCTCTGCAGTCCCGTGGCTCCAGTGCTCTCCAGTCCTGTGGCTGTGCGAAGGGCCCGCCAGCACACCGCGCCTGTCCTTTCGTGGCTGGCTCTTGAATGCGTTGTGTGCCGGGCTCAGCTGTGCTCTGTTCTCTGCAGGTTGAATGCCTCCCTCTCGGCTCATCCTGAGAAAGACGAACTGATCCTCTTTGGAGGTGAATATTTCAATGGCCAAAAAGTAAAGTATACATATTTTTCTGTTTTAAAAAAAAATGTCTTTAAGATATTTGTTAGAAAAGCGGAATGATGGAGGAGATGCAGAGAAGCGGGGGGGATGGGCTCATGCATGTGTTGGTGTTTACTCTGAAAATGGCCACGACAGCTGAGCCTGGGCCAGGCCCGAACCAGGAGCTCCCGTCTCGGTCCGAATGGTGAATGGGGGGACTCAGCCAGCCCTCCGATTTGGAATTAACCTACTGGCCTTCTCTGGGTCTCCCTGAGCCAATGTGTTAGCAAGCTGTGCCATACCTGGGTACCAGACCCGATCGGGAGCCTGTGTGTTAACCTGCTGTGCCATGCCTGGGTGCCAGGTCCAATGGGTTTTATGTGTTTTTGGTGTCCCAGAGGTCTTGCTGCCTGCATCTCATGCTGATTGGCCTCAGGGTGCACTGCCACCCGTCATCTGGGAGGACGCTGACCAGCGCAGGGCTGACGTGCTAAGCAGGCGGGAAAGCCCCCTGCTTCTGGTTAGAGCCCCTGTGGAGAGCCTGTGGGTGTGACCTCACTGAATCTTCACACAGTAAAACTGGGCCTGCCTCAGGGGATGGCGAACCCTGCTGGGCACCAGGGACTGTTGACCTGTGGCAGGCTGGGCACTTCTCTGCTTGTGATGTTGTGGGGCTGCTGGCTTTGCCTTTTCAGTGAGGTGGTCAGCACTTCAGTAGAAAACAGGCTTTGTGACTTTGGGGTTCTTAGCCTGTTCTGGGGGTGCTTGGCTAAGCAAGGATGTTCGCTGTAACTTCGCTGTGTTGTGAGCATCTTCTTTATTTCCCTTAAGATCTATTTTATTGGGGGCCTGGCACAGTAGCCTAGTGGCTAAAGTCCTCGCCTTGCATGCACCAGGATTCCATATGGGCACCAGTTCATGTCCCGGCTGTTCCACTTCCCATCCAGCTCCCTGCTTGTGGCCTGGGAAAGCAGTCGAGGACGGCCCAGAGCCTTGGGACCCTGCACCCACATGGGAGTCCCAGAAGAGGCTCCTGGTCCCTGGATTCAGATGGGCGCAGCTCCAGCCACTGTGACCACTTGGGAGTGAACCAGCAGACAGAAGATCTTCCTCTCGGCCTCTTTTCTGTGTATATCTGTCTTTTCTATAAAAATAAATAACTTAAAAAAATTGTTTTAATTGGAAAGGTAGGTTTGCAGAGAAGAGAGGCAGGGAGGCCTTCCATCCACTGGTTCACTCCTCAGATGGCAGCAGTACTGGAATTGAGCTGCTCAGGAGCCAGGAACTTCTTCTGGGTCTCCTGCGTGAGTGTAGGGTCCCACGGACTTTGGTCATTTTCTGCTGCTTTCCCAGGCCTCAAGCAGGGAGCTGGATGGGAGGGGAGCAGCTGGGACAGGAACTGGCGGCCATGTGGGATGCTGGCGCCTGAGGCGCCGCGCTGCGGTTAGCCTGTTGAGCTGCCACACAGCCCCCGGCAGGGCGTCTTGGCAGGCGCCCCGGCAGTGTGGTGTGGTCTGCGCTGCTTCCTGTCTCCCCTTGGATGCTGAAGCTGCTTGTCCCTGCAGACGCTCCTCTACAATGACCTTTACATCTACAACATCAAGAAGGACACCTGGACCAAAGTCGACATCCCCGGGCCACCCCCGCGGCGCTGTGCGCACCAGGTAACCAGGGTGCACTGGGGCCTCCTGCCCAGATGTGTTGGTCTGGTGGGCACTGGGGCCTGAGGCCGAGCTGGGCCTGGCTCAGCGTCCCTGGCCTCGTGGAGCTGGAAGGTGACTCCTCTGTGCCTGGGGAGTGTGTGGCCTGCTGTGTTTGCTGCCCTGCAGGTGAGAGGGCCCAGTGGGCTCTGGTGAGAAGACCGGGCGTCGAGCGGCGGTGGCTGCAGTGGGTAGAACGGGACAGGGTGGGGGAAGACTCCCCTGTGTCGGCATGTCCCCCTGCAGCAGCACCGGGCGCCCTGCTGCCGTAGTGGCTGGGGAAGGGCCCTGCTCTCGGAGGCTGCCGTTGAGGATAGCCGGGCAGGCGTGTGTCCGTGACGTTTGTGCCTCCTCTCTGACTCCATGCCCTGAAGGAGCCCCTGATCTGTACCTGGCTTCGTGGAAGCCGGCCACCCTCTGGCCCCGGGCAGGCGCCAGCTCCCTGCTAAAGGTGAGCTCGGGATTCTGAGTCAGGACGCGTAGCAGTGCTGGTCAGCATGCATGTGTTCACATTCCCTCTTGGGAGGTGCGGTCCGTCCCAGGCACCTGAGCCCAGGGCCGCTCCCTCGGGAGAACGGGGTGTGTTCCAGGTCACGAGGGCTGGTTCGTCCGCTGCGCCTGTGCTGTGCTGTGCTGTGCTGGCTCAGCGATTGTTTTGAAATTGCAGGTTTGTTTATTGTTTGAAAGGCTAGTTACAGAGAGGGAAGGGGAGACAGAGAGAAGTCTTGCGTCCTTTGGCTCACTCCCCAGATGGCTGCAATGGCCAGAGCTGGCTGGAGCTGGGCCAGTTTAAAGCCAGGAGCCAGGAGCTTCCTCCGTGTCTCCCACGCGGGTGCAGGGTCCTAAGGCCTTGGGCCATCCTCTGCTGCTTTCCCAGGCCACAGGCAGGGAGCTGGATGGAAGTGGAGCTGCCAGGACTCTGACACCTGTGCTGGTGCTGCAGGGCCGACTCGGCTTGCTCTCCCGCGGTGCCGTCGCTGGCCATGGCTGGGCTGTTTCCATGGCCGTCGTGGGGTTTAGCAGCATTGTGGAAAGAGGAGTGTCATGGAAGCCTTGGCGTGGATTTGTTTCCTTGGCAGCTTCCAGTCAGCTCTGACCTGCGTGGGTGCCGCGTGAAGGCGGCTGTGCCGGGCTGGTCGCCAGGGCGGCCGGTTAAGCGGGCCTCAGCGTGCAGAGCTGTGCTCTTGCTGCCGACAGTTTGGTCTGCAGTGGGCTCTGGGGTGTGAACGCCTAGCCCTCGTGGCACCTGAGCCTTCCACGCCGGCCACGAGGCTGGAGACATCTGCTCCTCCTTTGTTCTGGATTCTCCGTGTTGGGGCTGAGATCCACTTAGTGTGTGATGTGAGTGGATCCGCAGGCTGCTGACCAGTGTCCGATAGACCCAGCGTCTTGGGGAGGCTTCTGTTCTCCCTCTGTGGGTGTGGAGGGAGGGGAGTGCAGGTCACCGGCTGAAGCCGTGGGGTCTGATGGGGGGAGTGCGGGTCACCGGCTGAAGCCGTGGGGTCTGATGGGAGTGCGGGTCACCGGCTGAAGCCGTGGGGTCTGATGGGAGTGCGGGTCACCGGCTGAAGCCGTGGGGTCTGATGGGAGTGTGGGTCACCGGCTGAAGCCGTGGGGTCTGATGGGGGGAGTGAGGAGGGAGGAGCATGCTCTGTTTTGGCCTGAGAGCTGGTTCCCCCTAAGTCATAGCTCCCTTCTGTGACCAGGATGGAGCCACGGGGGCCGAGCCGCAGCTGCGTTCTGTCCTCCGCACGCTGGGAGCAGAGGAGAGCTTGAGGGAAGAGCTGGTCCGTGCAGGAGGCTGCCTCAGCGTCCCTTGAAGGGCCAGCAGGAGCCCACTGCACGCCTACTTGGAAGACACCTGGTCTCTAGGAGGCCGCGTCTGGGTGGGGGCCTTGTGACAGGGATATGTTGACACTCCCACTCAGGTTCCCGTCGGTGGCTTCTCAGGCCTGGTGAGGGTCGGGTCGTGGGGACTCACACTCGTGCAGCAAAGCCCAGTCCTGCGTGTTCCTTTGGCCCCCTGGGTTGCTGCTGTCACCCTCGGGTTCTCTGAACGTTCTGTTCTAACCATAGCAGCCATGGACAAGTCCAAATGGCCGAAGTGTTAGCATTTTGGGACAGTCCGGGAGGGCTGGTCCCACTGCACCCCGGCTGCTCGCGGCTGCTGTGCCTTGTTGACTTGGAGTGCCGCACGTGGCAAACACTTGTGTCACAGATAGTGGGTAAAAATGCTGTTAGCTGGGTGGTAGGCCAACTTTGCCCCTGACATTCATGAATGGCAGTCACCGAGAGGGGCACCACAGAGGGCTGTACTTCTGTGCATGCCAGGGCTGGGCTGGGCTGGAGTGGGAGCCAGGAGCGCCCAGGGCGGATTCAGGGGCCTGACACTGGGGCCGTCCGCTCCTTTCCCAGGCTATAAGCTGGGAGCTGGGTATGGCAGAGCAGCCAGCTCTGGAACCGCCTCACAGTGCCACCCTAATTCCAGTTGTTTGTTTGTTTTTAAAGATACATTTATTTGAAAGGGTTGCAGCGAGAGAGGACGAGATTCGAAGAGAGCTCTTCCCTCTGCTGGTTCACCCCCAAATGGCTGCCAGGCTGGGGTGGGCATTGGGAAACCGGGAGCCTAGAGCTGCGTCTGGGTCTCCCACGCGGTAGGCCGTCTTCTGCTTTCTCAACTGCCTTAGCAGGGAGCTGGTCACAAGGAGCAGCCTCTGTCAGCTTGTGTAGTGCCTATCTGTGTACAGCCTGGGAAACCTTGGAAGGGATTGTGTACCCTTGGAGGGCTGCTGGGAACCCGCTGGGATTGGTGGAGATGTAGGGTGGACCATAAGTGGACGGAACTGACACTGCTGTGCCCTGGGGCCGGTCCAGCTGCTGTGCAGTCCCCTGCCCTGTCCCTCTTTTTTTTTTTTTTTTATCAATTGCATTGCATTATGTGACACAGTGTTATAAGCACTGGGAATCCCCCCACCCCTCCCCGGACCTTCCCCCCTTGGTGGATTCCTCCACCTTGTTGCATTACCCCAGTTCAAATTTAGTTGAGATTCTTTCAGTGGAAGTATCTACCAAGCATAAAGTCCAGCATCCTATTGTCCTGGTAAGTTCAACAGCTTCTTGGTGAGACCGACTCTGGTCTGAAGGTAGAGCCGGCAGAGTATCATCCTGATCGATTAAAAGCCCCGACATAACATCAACAACGAATTACTACATTATGGTATTAATTGACATGGTATTGATTAACCAACCAATATGTTAATAGGAAAATGTAGGTTCTTAACCACATCCTGTGACTTCTTCATAGACATTTCAGTTTTGGTTTATATTCAATCAACAGTTTGGGTGCAGAACATTTTTAGGATGGGTGTGCAGAGAAATCCCCAATACCCCAGTGAGAAGCAAGCAGTCCCCGCGTCCCACTAGTTAGGCATGAGTGAGTCCACACTTGCCACCTCCTGTCTGATTCCAAGCCTTTCCTGTTGCTGTCTGTCTTTCTATTCTGGCTTTTTGTTTGTTTGTATGTTTGTTTGTTTGTTTGTTTTGAGGGGTTTCTGGAGCGATCCTAATGGTCATTGCAAGAGAGGGTGGGGACCCAGAGCCTGAATTAGGCAAAGACCAGAGCAATGTCCCTTTCTTTTGGACAGGCTGTGATGGTGCCTCAAGGAGGTGGGCAGCTGTGGGTCTTCGGCGGAGAGTTTGCGTCCCTCGACGGGGAGCAGTTTTACCACTACAAGGACCTCTGGGTCCTGCACCTGGCCACCAAGACCTGGGAGCAAGTCAAGTAAGTCGGCCTGGGGCGGGGCTCCTCCTAGGGGCTGGCGGCCAGAGGTGTCGGCCTGGGGGGTGCTGGGCTGGGGGGTATCGGCCTGAGGGGCGCCGGGCTGGGCGTTGTGGAACTGCAGGTTGTTGGGCTGGGGGATGCTGGCCTGGGGGGTGCCGGCCTGGAGGGTGCCGGCCTAGGGGGTGCTGGGCTGGGGGTGCCGGACTGCGGGTGCTGGGCTGGGGGGTGCTGGGCTGGGGGTGGGGCTCCTCACTACTCCCATGCTCACTGTTAGGTGATGAAAGTCGGTTACACGGAGAAAGGAGAGCGAGCTTGCTTCCACTGGTTCGCTGTCCAAATGATTACAGCGGCCAAAGCTGGCAGCCAGGAGCTTCTGGGTCTCCCGTGGGTGCAGGGGCCCAAGGCCTTAGGCCTTCCTCCGCCGCTTCCTCAGTCCTTGAGCAGGGAGCTGGGTCGGAAGTGGGAGCCCTGGATGCATCCATGTGGGGCGCTGTTGCCGTAGGCCGAGGATTAACCTACCATGCTGTGATGTAGGCCTCAAAGGTGCGTTGTGGAAGCTCCTAAGCACATTTTTTTTAAAAAGATTTATTTATTTTTATTGAAAAGTCAGATTTGTAGAGAAGGAGAAACAGAAAGATCTTCCATCCGTTGGTTCACTCCCCAAGTGGCTGCAATGACTATGGCTGAATTGTTATGAAACCAGGAGCCAAGAGCCTTTTCTGGGTCTCCCACGTGGGTGCAGGGTCTCAGAGCTTTCCCGGGCCACATGCAGAGAGCTGGATGGGAAGTGGAGCAGCTGGGATACGAACCGGCACCCATACAGGATGCTGGCACATGCAAGGCAAGGCGTTTAGCTACTAGGCTATCATGCTGGGCCCAATAATTTTTTGCTGCTTTTAAAGAGGAATTGAAAAGCTCAGTGTCAGACAGACCAGCAGACATTCTGTGCACTGCCTGCAGCAGCTGGGCCCAGCTGAATCTAGGGGCCTGCCCCAGGTCTTCCACATGGGTGGCAGGGGTCCAAAGGCTTTGGCCGTCCTCTGCTTCCTTCTCAAACACATTAGCAGGAAGCCAGATTAAAGTGGAGCAGCTGTGGCTCCAGCCAAGACTGGTGTGGGGTGCCGGGCTCCCCAACACTGAGCTAAGCTGCAGCATGCTGCAGATGTGGTCTGCGGGTGAGTGCTGGGCGGTGGGCAGTCGGCTCTGCTCTGCCACGCACTGTTTCTGTAAGTGGCTGTGTGTGACGCCAGCCTCCCCGGTGATGGCTTCTAGTGCCTGCGTGGGAGGGTGGTGGACAGTGCTTTGTGTGGGTGGAGGCCTGTGTCACCAGCTGTCTCCATTCCCCAGGGCACGGGGGAGTGTCCTGTTGTTGGAGTCCACATCTGGGATCCCGGAAGTTGGGATTGGATCCCGCTCTGCTTCCTGTTTGCTGAGAGGCGCTCATGAGCGGCCTCAACGTCTGTCTCCTGGACAGAGTGCAGTGGCAGCTCCCCGTGTCAGCAGTCTGCACACCCCCCCCCCCCGTGTTAACAGGGAGCCCTATGTGTTAACAGGAAGCCTCCCAATTAAAAAAATATTTTTATTGCAAAGTTAGATATATGAAGAGGAGGAGAGACATAGAGGAAGATCTTCCGTCCGATGATTCACTCCCCAAGTGACCGCAATAGCCGGTGTTGTGCCAATCCAAAGCCAGGAGCCAGGAGCTCTTCCAGGTCTCCCACACGGGTGCAGGGTCCCAAGGCTTTGGGCCGTCCTTGACTGCTTTCCCAGGCCACAGGCAGGGAGCTGGATGGGAAGTGGAGCTACTGGGATTAGAACCAGCGCCGTATGGGATCCTGGTGTGTTTAAGGCGAGGACTTCAGCGCTGGGCCCAGTAGCAGACTTCTAACAGGGCGGTCTGGGAAGTCTCTACAAAATGGAAGTCTGAATACAGTTTTTTTTTTTTAAATAAATAAGAGTTGGGAGTGGGTGCTTGAGCCTGGCGGGTAAGACCCAGGTGTCCCACCCTGAGCTCCCGGGGGCTTCTCGCTCTGGCCTGCCAGTCTGCGTCTGGAGGGGCCGCTGTGAGTGCCCGCTGCCTGCCGCCTGCCTGGCTGCTCAGGCCTTGGGGAAATGGACCATCTGTCTTTGTTTCTCACATGAAGATTTAACAAGAGTTTTTTTAAAAAGAAAACGACTCTCTTCCCTTCCTTTCAGGGCCACCGGGGGTCCTTCGGGCCGGAGTGGACATCGGATGGTGGCCTGGAAGAGGCACCTGCTGCTCTTTGGGGGCTTCCATGAAAGTGCAAGGTTGGTACAAGGCAGGGCTATGTCCTGGCTGGTTGGACTGCTGCCGGGGGTTGCCCACCCTTGCCCAGGCTGTGTCCGCGCTCTGTGTGCCCCTGTGGGGCGTGCTCACTGCTGGACAGGGCTGCCCAGGGACTGTGTGTCTGGGCTGGGACTATGGGCTGAACGCAATTCAGGCTGAACGCTTCAGCCACCCAGGCTGGCTCCGCGGGCCTGGGAGGCCCTGAGCTCTGCCTTTCCACCACGTCCAGGCGATGCGGGTGCTGCTAGCCCAGGACGCTGGTCTGTGGCCATGTAAGGGTTCTCGGCACTGATGGCCTGCATCTGAAGGTGTCCCAGTGGCGGCTGTCGTCCTATGAGCCTCCTGTGGCGTCTTCCGCCTCCCCAGCGTCTTCGTGCAGTAGCACCCACATGTGGCCACACGTTTTTCTGGTTGTTCTTAGTCCCCAAAAAGACATGCTGGCCTGGCTGTATGGAGAGGGCAGTGCCGTGGGAGCGAAAGGAGGCTGCGTGGGCACAGGGCGGCGTGGGCTTGTTGCAGGCTGCACTACTGTCCACGGCATTGAGGTTCACACTGTCTGTAAAAGATGTGTTTTATTTGGAAGGCAGAGCCCCAGAGGGACACACACACAGTCACCTGCCGTAGCCTGGGCTGGACTGGGGGGGCCAGGAGCCTATCCCTCCATCCGGAAGTCTTCCTCCATGGGTGGAGGGGCCACCTCACCAGGTCACGAGCAGGGAGCAGCCAGGACTCAGCACTATGTAAGATGCTGGCCTCACAAGGGGCAGCTTAACATGCCACGCTACAGCTCCAGCCCCCAGATCTAAGCTCTCAAGTGCTTTTGTTGTTGTTCTTAAAGATTTTTTTATTGGAATGTCAGATTTGCAGAGAAGACACAGAAAGATCTTCCATTCACTGTTTCACTCCCAAGGGGCTGCAGTGGCCAGATTGGAAGCCAGGAGCCAGGAGCCTTCTCCAGGTTTCCTACAAGGGCGCAGAGTCCCAACGCT